GATGTTGTAGAAATTTAAAATTATAATCATTTATTTGTCCTTCACGACTTTTAATTGCATTGATAATCGATATTTTTTCATGTCTCTTTATAAACAACTTTACAGTACAATTGGCGATTGATGAATAAGGACCTGATAAAGCACGAAAGACACGAAAAGTGTTTTCACATGCTTGTGAATTAAAAATATATGTATTAAGTGCATCAATAGGTAATTCTTTTTAATTACTAATAGAGTTATATAAAGTAGTGTGTGGGCATTTATCTCAATGCACCAAAATGTTGACTTCGTAATAAAACTATTTGCTCTAATTTTTTTTATTGATTCTAAATTATCATCGTTACTAATATTTTTTGCTTTTACATTTTGTATCCATGCCCACCCAACTCGACATTTAAATACTACTATCCATATATTATACAATCGTTCTTCAATCTTTGTTGATTTATCAATCAATCCGGTTATAATCAAGTGTAACAACGATAAATATACATAAGTTCTTTTATAATTTTCATTATTATTTAACAATTTAAAAACTGTTTCAGAAGATATTCGTCTACAAGATGCAAAATTTTGTCAATCTTTAAGACTAACATCACATCTAATTAAATTATGCTCAAGTTTATTTTTTAATTGAATTAAATTCATCAAGTGTTGAATATCAATTGAATAATCACTTATCTTCATCGATACTACTTCAGAAAGAAGTTTATTTCGAAATTTTGTTGCGACATGAATTGGTTCTTGCATAAAAAGCAAAATTTGTTGCTCTTTCATAAAAAAGCCACGACCATTGCTCGGGTATGTTTATATCAAAATTATCATTATGTTTAAACAGATTTAAATTAGGTAATTCAGCGAAAAATCGAATACATAATCTCATTGTTCTGAGGTAACGTGGATCACCATCAGAACTAAAATCTATCACATGTATACCCTGAAAAAAAACCCTGATTGTAGATATATAACCATCTCTTTGAAATATCTGTTGTTGTAAACTTGTTGTTTGATTCCTAAACTGACAAAATTAATGGGGAAGCGGATGGTACTATTGTTTGTGCCGTATGAATGTTATTAAATTTTGACTTATTAAAATCATTAAACCACATTTTTAATTCGTCGAAATTTTCCGTTTGGAAAAAATTTGGTTGTGTATTCCATCAATTAAAGGTGATGAAAAACCAATAAAAGAATTTAATTGTGAATCATAATCAATACGACAAATGGCACTGATACAATCTTCAGAAGAAAATACATAATTACAATTATTTGATCGTGAGTATTCTTTTCATAATTTAAATCGAAATTCACATTCAATTATTCTCATTTCTTGTTTTCTCATTAATGATTCTATATTAGATATATGAGGTAATGCAGCAGGTAAATTTAGTCGAAGAAATTCGTAATAATTTCTTCCACTAAGAATAAGCAACAATAAAGCAAATTGTTGAATATGATTATCATAACTAAATTTATTCTTGGCTTTTTTTAAAATTTTCAAAAATATTTTTGATCCATGAAATAAGTATAGGAACATTAATCTCGTTTGATGAGCCAGATGAGTGCTTTCATAATTCTATTAGTTTTTTAAAAATATCATTTTCAATATGATCATGTGTTAATTCAGGATTTTTAACTAATGAGTTTTTCTTCGATTTTACTAATAATAATAAACGTTCAAGTAAATTTCGAAAACCTAGTCGAAGATGAAAATTTCCATCAGCTGACACAAATCCAAGTGCTTTTTTAAAATAATTTAATCCGACAATATCAAAATCAAGTATCTGTATTAAATGATCTACTGTTATTGATGATAAAGAAGACAGGGTGGCCGGAATTTCGGCCCACGAATTTTTTACCCCGGACTTTCGGCCCGGACCGAAAGTCCGAAAGGAATTTCGGACCAAAACTTAATTTATCTAATTAAATTTATAAATAATTAATAAATTTCATGGTGCTCAGTACTATGCACCTCCAATAAAACGTTGTGGTCAGCAGTATGACATGGTGTTACGCAGTATGACATAATGCTCTGCAGTATAACATGGTACTCAACAGTATGACATAGTGCTCTGCAGTATGATATGGTGGTTGGCAGTACGACATAGGGCTCAGCAAGATGATATGGTGCTTGGCAGTACAAAATGATGTTTAATAGTTTTCATTCCACTCTGTTAGAGATGGGGCAGCTGTTTTCGATAATTAATTAAAGAGAATATGTAAATAGTGGGAATGACAAAGAAACAAGAATGAATAGGCCGGTTGATACCGGTCGTCAAAAATTCGGACCATTTTCATCTCTGATCGATACCACAAAAGAATGAAAGCATCTATTCGATCGAGTGTGACTAGATGTGATCACTATCTAAATATGTATTTCATTCAATATCAATGATGTGATTTATCTCCTAAGTAAAATAGACGAAGAAATACACAGATACAGCCGAACGTTATAATTATCATGTCATCTAAATTCGTATTGCTGAGTTCTATACCCATTTCTTAAATATTGCGTCAGTTTCCACAACAGAATACTTAACCTATGTTTCGATCAATATCCGAATTGCCAATTTTTTTATCGATATGCATAGTGTTAGGTACTAGACTGTATAGCTAGGCACTATCTTATACTGCCAAACACAATGTCGTACTGCTGAGCACCACACCATACTGCTAAGCATTATGTCATCTCGCCGGGCATTATGTCTAACTGCTGAGCATTATGTTATCTTGCTGAGCAGCATGTCTTACTGTCGAGCGCAACGTTTTCTTGCAAGTGCATAGTGCTGAGCGCCATGAAGTTTACTAATTATTTATAAAATTAATTAGATAAATTAAGATTCGATCCGAAATTCCTTTCGGACTTTCGGCCCGGGCCGAAAAATCACCGGAATTTCGACCCGGGCCGAAAGTCAGGGACAAAAAATTCATGGGCCGAAATTCATGTATCCCAAGAAGACATACCTTGAATAGCTTGTATTCGAAAAAGATCGCATAAATCTTTATTTAAAGCATTTTCTAAAAAACGTAGAAGTTATCATGACTTAAATTCATCATATCATCTGTAAATTCATCAAGTTGAAAAATATCCATTATTAGTGTTGTAGAAGTATTATTCTTTGCAGTAAAATACTGTTGATTGTAAAGCTAAATACAGTAAAATCTCTATTAGTGAACACCTCCTTATAGTGAACGCTTTTGAAAAGTCCCAACAGTGTTCACATTAGAGAGGTTTTACTGTAAAACAAACAATTGTTATATATATGGATAACAAGTTCAACCAACATCAAATAAATGCATATTTTGTCGCTAGCTGACCATAACAATGTATAAAGATATTAAAATAGGATAAATTAAATACTAAAAATAAATTTAAAATTAAAAATACTCGTTACAATTCAAAAAAGCTTTTTACACAACAAAATAGTCTGTAACGCAAAAAAAATCTTTTTTATACAGACGTTAACTTCCTGCACACACGAAAATTTTGTTTGACTACAAAAAAAAATATATATAAAAGATACGGAAACCAATAGATTAGGTTACAATAAAAGGAAACCTTTGAATTTATTAGAATTCAAAAAAGACTTAAAGAGCCTCAAAATATCCATTCTTTCAACTAAATAACTGATACATATGAACAACAATTTCAATCAACAGATGATAATATACGTTTATGTCTCTAGCTTATAATAATATCTGAAATAAAAAATATTTATTATTAAAAATTGGTTTCTACCAAGACAGCGAACATATTATATTATTAAAAATTTAAATTTAAATTTAGAGTAGATGATTACCAACTTTCCACAATAAATCATCAACCTATATAACATTATTAATAAATAGTAAAAACTCAAAAATTCATTATTATTATTAAAAAAGGGTTGTAAAATCAAGATAATAAGAAACACACCACGACAACTCTATAAATATAAAATGTTGTAATTTATACATTTAGAAATATGGTTTATGAAAATTACGTACTTGATTGACATAAATCCCTTGGTTTTTGAACAAATTATTCTATATTTACACCAACAATATGGGAAATAGAAAGTTATTACTAAAAAGTTATTAAAAAAATCAGAACATTATTAAAAAAATCAGAATGAAATTAAACAGTACTAATCCCTTCAAACAAAAAGAGTTCGGACCAACTAACGACTGGACACAACAATTAAACCAACAGCAATAAATATCATATATGTGTCGCCAGCCACTAATCTTTGCCCACAACATCATAATAAATCCAACTCTGTTGATATCTTTTTTCGTTCTCTTGTTTATCAACCAGAGAACTTTTAATCATAATTGAAAAGAATATCTTTATTGTTGGGGGGTTTTCATCAAGGAATTATTATTAATTTGAATTCTTTGATTACTTGAAACTACTATGCTAATACAAAAAATATATTAAGAACATATAAAATATATATATATATATATAATTCAAGAGCTTGAAAAAATTATTATCCAAGAATTGGTATCATAAAGTTAAATTTCAACCAAGAGTTCAACAATTTGGATAAAAATTTGGATAAAAACAAAGCAATTAAGATATTTTCATTTATAAATAGCAATTAAAGAGAATTATATAAATGAATTAAAAAATATAAACCATCAAAACTTTATTTTAAACTTGGATAGGAAGTTCAACAATTTAAGTAAATTTCAAGCAATCAAAATTTTATTTTATTTTCACTATCAAAATTAGAAGCCCATAAATTTAATATAAAACCATCAAAACTATATTTTGATCTTGAATATGATATTGCTAATATTATTTTTATCTTTTATTTAATAAGCAATTTAAGGAGAATTATATAACAAAAAATAAATACTGGAATTAAAACGTCGATAAAAATGAAATCAATTATACATTATATAATAAAGATTAAATTTTGATAAAAAACAAGATATAATATTCGTGATTGCAATTTATGGACAATAGTATTCACCAATGTCAACATTAAAATAAATATATGTCGCTACTATATTAAAATTAAAAATTAAAAATGTTAGATGAAAATTAAATATTGAACACTAAAATACAAAATAGAAAGTTTGTTTAAAAATGATAGCAAATAAACTTTATAATTGGTAGCAGTAAAGAGAAATTATTTTTATCTAAAAAATATTAAATTAAATTAATAGTTCAAAAAAATATAAGAATTGCTATTAAATTGAGCTCTTATGTTATACATAAATAAAATGAATTTATATTAATATAATAAATATTCTTATTTAGAATACAGCCGTTTTCAATATATTCATATAAGTTCAGAAAGCTGCTATACATTTAAAATTAGCCATAAAAACGAATTATGAATATTATCAGAACATTATTATTACAAGAAATTATAATAAATATTACTGAGAACTATCAAAAATTAGTGTTATAATAAAAGACCATCAAAACTGTATTTTGATCTTGAATATGATATTGTTAACCCAATTCAAGACAAATTTCAAGACCAATTTAATAGTCATTTGTTTAAGTTGATTCCCAAAATATATCATAAATAAACTTATTAATTCTATTTATTGCAAAATTAATTTTAAAAGTTAAACAATATCTCATTTATTAATAATTAATTAATTTGTTTTATCAATAATATATTTTGAAATATGTATCCACAACACTGGGAACAAAAATATTCCATAAAAATGAAAAATATCTCCGGTTCACAAAATAAAGAGAATCGGAGTGTTATAAGTGGATAAAAAATATCAACCAACGACAAGAGATATTGTACATGTGTCGCTAGCAATCAATGATTGCCCAGAACACTATGCATACAGACTTTTTTATTTTTTTCTTATCTTTTTCTTTTTTGAATAACTCGAAACTTTAATCGTAAAATAAAATTTAGAATAATTTTTTAAACAGATTAAAAATTTTGTTGGAGGATTTTTTTAATACATTTTCTCTCTTCTTCTCTAACCTCTTTCCATTTCCATTTTCAGTTTAATTCAAATTTTTGCTTTTTGTTCTAGCTTATTCATTAGATATTGTTTTTTGTGCTTTATATTGTAATGCAGTGCCCTGAAGAATGTTTTAATATTTTAATAAATAAACATGAAACGCGTCGGCGTTAAAATAAATCTGCATTAATTTTGTAGTTTATTAAATTTAATTCAAGCACAATATTAAAAATAAAAATTTTAGCTGATTTAATCGGTTGCTGAAAACTAAAAGTTGAAAGTAGCGGATTAGTTTATATTATTCTTAAAAAAAATATAGATTGATCTGTTTTCAATTAGTTTCCACCTTCAAATGCTTCATAGGAGGCCGGTTGCCTTCAAATTTTCAAGCTGCCACAGTGATTTTCGAGCAGGATGCTGCATTGCGGCATCCATTCTAGCTACTTGACCGACTGTAAACATCTTATAACATCCATCTGCACCAGTATAGCTCATATAATTTTCACTGTTCTCGAGTTTTCCAGCACAATTATACACAGGTTCGCAGCCATCTTTACTTATAGTTTGTGGTGTATCGCATACACGATCTCCAGTTTTATCACATGGGCCTTCGCTAGATTCCATGCATCCAGCTTCGAATGTGTGGAAGAGATTAAGCCAATGACCAAATTCATGAGTTAACATCGATGCAAACTCTTTGTTTGTATTTCCATAAAGATGGCGTCCATTGTAAACGATACGTGCTAAATTCTTATCAGACATAAAAGAATCTGGAAACCAAGCAACACCAGACTGAGTTAAGTCACCATTTCCATATATATCCGATTGAATATACACATTGCAATATTTGTAATTATCCCATGCATCATACTGTATCCAATCTTCGAACATTCCCGTTGCATATCCATATCGGGGTTCATCATACCAAACGATTCCAGTTGTTGATTTTCCATCTGGATCAAGTGTAGCTAGTTTAAAGGTAACACTAAATGCTGATTTTATTTCTTTAAAAGCTGAATTAACTGTATTGAAATCATCGTTCCGTCCTTGAAAATCCTCATTCACCTTGTCAATTGCTGTCTTTATGATAGTTTCATCCACTTTAGTTCCACTAAATATTTTACCATAAACATGAACAACTACAGGAATAATGTACGGCTGGGCTGTTTGTCTCTTAGATATAAATTCTTTAGTGCTGATTTCGAATTGTCGATGTTCTTCCAAAGCATTTGGATTCTGATGATAATACCGTTGCATCACCCTATCAGCGTGGCATGGATCTGGCGGAAGAACATACCCATTGTATTTTCTTCCATCGATCACTTCTGTGAATATTGTCAGCAAAAATAATATTAATAGGATGAGTACTTGCAACATAGTCATTGTTTAAAATTCACCCCTGTTAAAAGCATAAATCTATAAAATCTACATTGATTCTTCGAATATTCTAATGATTACTCGGTCTCATCATGATAAAGACGAAACTTAAACTAGTCTGTCGAATAGTACAAGTTAATGTACACTTATTTTATTGTCATTTAATTAAAACTCTTAATCATATTGGTTTTGAAAGGAGATTTATATTTTTTTTTCTGCTCCAAACTTCTCATATAACAGTAGCTTTTGCCTCTCATAATCAGAAGATAACTCTTCTTGATGAGAGACCGTACAAATTCTATCGTGATTAACAGTAACAGCATCGATCAAAATATTGTGGAATTCTTACCAGTCAACATGAAAATAGGCGGTTACGGCTCTACTCTAATTTGAATATAAAGGAGGAAGGTTCATTCTAAACAAACACAACTAGTAGATTTAATATTCAGATTTCCTACTAATGACAAGTAAACTTGAAAAAGGTGTTTGTGATCCTGTCTGTTTGATTGCACTTAGTAGTTCACTCTCAATATTTAAAAGAAACACCACAATTATATTACTGAAGAAGGAAGGAAGTTTTCTATACAAAAATATTTTCAACCAAAGCTTGATGCAACTGCTCAAAATACAAGTATAAACATCTCTGATTCTGCAATATCAAATACTTGGCTGCCTCACAATAATGATATCTACCTTAGATAGTATTGATGCCTTTCAATTTGGAATCTTATTTTCGAAGAATCGAGTTAAAATATATCTGTTCGCTTATTACCATATAGATTAGTTGTTTAAGTGACAGCAGGGGTGTAATTCAATACGAGAAAAAAAGAATGCTGTCAGCGCAGCTCCTGTGGAGCTGAAATGTGGAACTCACATATATCCTTAAATCTTAATATTCTAACACATCATATGTAAATTGAAAAATTTCGTGTACACTGCAGTTGTTTTCATTGATAATCAATGACAAGAGAGAGACTTTGTTATTTATTTCTTCATTTAAAACAGAAATCTGTTTTTGTTTGAGAGTGCCCTATTTTTATCTTGCACTAGAAGAAAAATTTCAGACAGAATAATACAAATATATGAAATTATGGAGAATTTCAAGCGCTATTAGATTGTATAGCTTCTTTTATAAAAAGTTATAATTACAAGAATGGTAATATCAAAAAAGAAGTAAAAAAGTAGCAAAAAATGCAAAATTTTTTATCCTTCTTAAATGAGGTTGTGTTCAATGTGGTCAATTTTTTTATAATGAACAAATGGAAAAGAAAAGATATATATACAGGGTGATAGAGCATCTCAAGCTCTATCAGAATAAACATTTGCTTTTTCGAAAAGGTAGCTCTATAGTGATGATAAAAGTAAAACATCAATAAGACGGCAATAACAAAAAAAAATTTTGGGAATCTGGACATGAGAGTGCCTTCATTGCACTCGATTTATTTTGATAATGGCTCAGTACAAATTAAAAGATAAATACACAGGATGATAGAAAACTCCATACGTTTTCAGAATATGTAATTAGGTTTAAAAAATGATTTTATTATGGTGACAAAATCATCGAAATACTGACTGCAGCTATTTTTTTCCAGGCGTATATGTCAAACTTGAAAGTTAAATTGAATTATTGAAAACCGTCTTCAACTATTCCAAAAGTGAATAATTGAATTTAACTTTCAAGTTTGACATATATGGAATTTCGCAATCGTTTCGACTCACAATCATGTCTAATCTATGAAAACTGCTAAATATGTCGTGTTTCTTTCGAAAAATCATAGCAAATCGCTATGTTTGGAGAAAGATGTGAGCCCTGTTTCTCCTCGAAGGATAATTGGCGTTTTGGCTTCCTTGACTAAGTATGAATTCGTGTCTTATGTAGAAGCGTATCAGAGATAGGGTTAGTACTACAACTACCATTTGTCGATGTGAGGACTCAGAAAAAATAATAAAAAATCAGACTCTCTAAGTTAAAACTGGAAAAAAAGCGCGTTTTCTAGTGACAGCAACTAAAGTCGATTAAAATCAGAGAACCGGATTACAACCGTGCCATTTTAATCGATTTTGAATCAGAAAAAAGTCGATTAAAATCAGATTTTTTTTGTGTTTTTTTAAACAGGTAGATCTGTAGTGAGTGAGAACTAGGGGTGATCAATTTACAATTACGAAAGTTTATTAAATCGAAAAATAAATTGTGGATGATTTAAACTCAAAATGAATAAAATTTTTTGTCTGATGAAAACCTAAATTTATTTGACATTTTAGTTACAATAATTTTTATTTATTGTAAATTGAAATTATTTTCAATACAAATTTACGAAATTTAAATTTAAAATACGTTTAAATTAGATACATATTCGACTTCGATTGACTTCGATTGGATGTAAACGGAGTTATGCCAGATTTAAATGAATTTAAATCAATTGAAAATGCATTTAAACCCAATTTAAATGCATTAGAATCGGATTTAAACCTATTTGAATCGATTGAAATTCATTGAAATGCGATTTAAATCGATGTACATGAATTCATACGGATTTGAATCGGATTGAAATCCAATGAAAATAGATTTGAATTCGATTTGCATTTATTTGAATGAGTTTAAACATAATTCAAATACATTTAAGTACAATTTAAGTCGATTTAAATAGTTTTAAAAATGTTTCAAATGTGTTTAAATAGACTGAGATGAATCTGAACCCAATTTAAATCGATTTAAGCTACCGTAAATTAGTTTTAGTCGATTTAAATCCAATTTAAAATGATTTCAACTCACTTTAAATAAATTTTAATCGATTGAAATTATTTTTATATCAATTTAAAATATATGAATCAATTTAAATTATTTCAATAAATTTAAATTATTTCAATAAATTTAAATTAATATAAATGCAGTTTAAACTAATTGAAATCCAATTTGAATTGGCTTAAATTAAATTGAATAAGTTTAAATTAATTCATGTGTAATTTAAGTTAATTTAAATTGGTTTGGTTGCCTCTCGAAAAAAAGCAACCATTTATCTCATAAGAATGCTATAAGACATATGTTTATGAGTATTTTCGTATCATTAGAAAACAGCATCCATGGAGAACGACTCTTTTATGCAGAGTCTTTTGTTCTGATGGCCGAATTTTAACATATAATACCAATTTCTTTCCTTATTTCTTAGTTATTTCTTGTTTTTTTTTGAAGTCATGTATTTTGACAATAGAGATGATTAATTCGAATTTAAAATAGTTATTCAATCCAGAAATAAATTTCGAATTTATTCTACATTAAAATTTAAACGTATTTTAAGTTTAAATTGACAAGAATTTAAGTTTAAAATAAATTCACAGAAAAATGCCACCCGTACCTAGTGTCAGTTACTCAAGCTGGTCTCAATGATTTCAGCTGAAAAACTTAGTGGTATATTCTTATAGATCTAAAAGTTTTCAATAAAATTTTTAAAACCCTAGGTCAATATGAACATGTGATAGAAACATCGGAAAAGTGCACTACAGGACAGCTTAACGATTGATAGAATTCTGGTTTTATGCAACGAGCGTCAGGCCTAAGAAATTTGATATATATAATGGAAGTTGAAGCTCAAAAAACCAAGAATGAAATATTCAAATACGAAACGACAAACAAATACTTTCTTAGATGGTAGCTTAATAATGCCGTCAGAAACTTTCAAGACTACGGCAATACATTACTGAAATACACTGCAATTTCAAAAAACATACACTTACTTGTTAAATTTGTTTGAATATTATCTCTTCGATATCGAAATAACAGTTTAATTTTCTCGACGTTGTTTTTTGAGTGAGAATAAAGCAATAGGGTACCTATATATACAGCGAAATACATGTGATTTTTGAGGGCAAATGCCTTTATTTGAATTGATCGAGCATAAAATATAAATGACATACTGCGTATATCATTCACTAACGATTTTCTATTTTAATCGTCGCACACAATGGACAAAATATTAAAGTTTCACTGACAACCCTTTCTTGCCCAAAGGTATAATCATCATTAAGTCCTAATAATCACAAAAATAGCAACAACAACAACAACAATAACAGAGAGAAGAAAAACAAAGAGAAAAAAATCGAAAAAAATGGGAAAAATCAGCAATAACAAAAGTAACACATTATGCATCATAGAGTAACATCTTTTAACACTAGTATATCTCACTATATGTTCAGGTATTTTATTCCTTCGTTAAATTTTATGAATTGATGGTTTTGAAGGATTTCTCGTAGTAAGAACATTTTTAAAAAACTGAAAAATCAATTTTCATTATACAATTGAGTTTATTTTATTCATTTTATGCAACGTTTAAAACAAATAATGCAAAACAAATAGAAATAGTTACAATCCGGTGAAAAAAAACTTCTAGAACTACTATCAATAGAATTAACAAATAGTTTCTTTTAAAAGAATCGAGAAAAAAATTACACAAAGATTAATTTTTAATATTGTTAATCGATTTTATCTGGATAATCGGATAAGTTTCAATTGCTTGCTGAAATAAACAATAATAAAAATAAGTGATAAGAATTATACAATAATTTAAATGGTTACAAATTACTAGCATTATTTAATAACAGTTTTTGGAAAGAAAATACTATATATAGATTAACATAATGTATTACCTTCAGAAATATATTTTTTTGTTTCATGAATCTGAATAATTTTGTATAGCTAGATTTTAATGCTTGAACTACATCTTCACCAAATAAACCATAATGAAGATTGATTTGGTTTTAGGAATGACCTGCTAATAGAAAAAAATAATAAAAATAAATTCATATGTGATTTTGAGATTATGCAAGCTTATTTGAACGAATTGTTCAAACTCAGCAATATTTCAACGAGTTATTATAATCAATCA